GGTGGGGAAAACAGAGTTAAATGTCAGGGAGTTGATACTGTGAACTGACTGAAGACACAGCACAAAGCTTTAACTCTTTCAGTCCCATAAGATCTTATCAGAGATCTTCTTCAGTGTTTACCAGCTGTAAACTCTGGACATTCATCCAGCTCCAGACTTTAGTCTTATTACAGAACCTGAGTGTTGTATGCACATCCATTTTACAGATCTAACTTATCTGTATGGAGAGTTAGCCACAACCACATACAGCAGAGTTAGCCACATCCCCATACATCCCCATTTTTTATACATTGTCTCTCAGGCAGATGCACTCCGGCTTCGAAGGAAGCCCCCAGTTAGTCAACTTCTATGACATGTTTGTTGGGGAGGCAGTGGGTCTGTTCTTGTTTTCCCGACAATGGGGCCCTGGAACCCACACAGGGATCATCAAAGATGTCTAAGAAGTACTTAGCCACAAGGAATAAAACATATGTGCATTATTTTTTTGGCGGCAGCTTGACTTAAAGCATACAACATACTTTGTTGTATTTCCAAATAAAGGGTCAAATGTTTACACACAAATTGGATCAAATCACATTTTGTTTGGGACACATGGGCAGAAGCTGATCACACATGGGCAGTAGCTGATCACACATGGCCAGTAGCTGATCACACATGGGCAGTAGCTGATCACACATGGCCAGTAGCTGATCACACATGGGCAGTAGCTGATCACACATGGGCAGTAGCTGATCACACATGGGCAGTAGCTGATCACACATGGGCAGTAGCTGATCACACATGGGCAGTAGCTGATCACACATGATGGTGTGGTTGGGGCTGAAAGAGTTAAAAAAGGGAAAGACACTGATACAAGCGAATGTTTCAGCCAGTGTCTTTATCAACAAACTTGTTTTTCTGTGTCCTTTGCATACACCCTCAAAATGGCATTTGGCAGGTTGTGATGTGGTTTACAGCTGGGCTGTGCTATAAATGCACCTTTTAGCATCACTATAAGGTTAACTGATACCCCTGTCGGTTACAAAGTAATCTAAATCCAGTCCAGGCAGGGGAGCTGCAAATAGCAGTTCTACTGAAGATACCTCTCGTATGAAATTTCTGATCTCTGTTGAGAAAATATTTCTTCATCCGTCCAGGCTTTATGTCTGCTTAAATGCTGCGATATTTATGAACATATTTTTACTTTATTCTGTCTTTGTTTATTCTGTTTAAAAATAAATCATGTCAGGATGTCTGAGGTAACAGTTGTTTGTGGTCTCAATAATAAGTAGAGTAAGTTCAAGAGTTGTTTTTTGTTATAGCATACACGAGTTGTAAACTCCGGCAGAAAGTTCTGTTTGTTCACCCACTTCTGGACCTTAGTTTTTTTCCATTGTTCCAGAACCAGGATTTTGTATGCACATCTGTTTTACAGATCTGGCTTATTTGTTCCTTTTTTTTCCCTCCTGTTTTTATCATCCAGAAACCATGACCCTTTGGCTCGGTACTATGGATATCGCAACCCTTCGGCCTTGATTCCACGATAGATCCGTAAATCTGGGAGAAATGTGGCTTTTCCGCCTACCCCGGGGGTGAACCCGGACCACAAGGAGTTTGTCACCCAGAGGGTTTTAACCAACTGAGCTAGCGAGCCAGACGATCATTCATAAAAAGTCCACTCTTACAGCCTACTTATTAGGAAAGCAGTGGGTCTGGGTTGTTTCATCCGCCCCGCCCCCCTTTCCCACAATGGGGCTTGAATCCACCCAAGAAAGTTCATGGGTTAAAGGGTCGACTTTATTGCACTGGGTTTTATGCTGTAGGGCATGAGCTGTCTAGTTCCACTGATGGTCTCTGCAGTTGTGGAATCAGTGACACAGTCTGTGAAACCACCCCATAACCTTCAGAGGGCAAGACCAGTGGCTTAACCATTTTGCCATGATGCTTTCTATTGGTGTAACTAAAGTTAACCTTTTCATGCTTGGTATGTGACTTTCAAAGAGAGACAAAGAAATGGTAATGATGAAGATGTGTGTTTTAGACATAATCCTCACAAACAATTAAAAAAAGGAAATCCTTGCAAAGAAACAATTATTTAGGAACCTTTTTTTTCCCTCTCTCTGGCATCCTGAGAATAAATGTATTGTTTAAATTCATGAATGTTGCAGTCTTGTGATATTTAAACAAGTTATAATTTTTTTGGGGAGTGCATTAACATGCACACACATTTAAAAAAGCAATTGAAATGTATTTGAGAGCAACATGTTATTAATTGTTTCATTTATTTTGTGAAATTATTTTGCAATTTCATTTATGTTAAAACTATGTTTTCTAAAGAGGCGTTAGCTATGTATGGTATCATGTGTATTGTTTTAAATAAATTCGATATTTTCACAAAAATAAATTGAAGTCTTGTTGTTTGATGATTTGCCATTGCCGTTCCCAAGCCTGAATGAGAAAGGAGGAGGGTAGGCTTGGAGCCAGCTGCCACACCCTGTTAAAAAAGCATTTGTGTTAAAGAAACTCGCATAAGAGGAAGCCATTTAGGTGCACTAACCAGCCAAGTGGTGTGCATTGCCAAGTGTGCACGTATGACAGCCGCTGATGAAAGCTGCTCTGAGGAAATCAGTGGCCAGACATGCAGACCTCAGATTCAATTCATGAAATTCTTCTTCTTCTTCTTCGCGTTCACCAGCTGTACACTCTGGTTGAAAGTTCTGGTTGTTCATCCACTTCTGAACTGCAGTCCTGCTCCAGAACCTGAGTGTTGTGTGTGCATCAGTTTTACAGATCTGATTCACTTGAATGCAGACTGTTAGTTCCTTGCCTCTCAGGCAGATGCACTCCGACTTCAAAGGAAGCTCCCCAATTAGTCGACTCTTACGACATTATTTTAGGGTCTGTTCTTGTTTTCCCTATAACAGGGCCCCGGAACCCACACAGGGGGAAGGCACTTATTGATATATCTCTTACATTACTGACTTGATGTATTAAGAGACAGACGAAGTGCATAATAAAAGCCTGGCAAATGATATCACGTCTAGTTTGAGAATAGAGGTGGAGGCAGTCACTTCTGCCTTCCGCTTGCTTGAGAATCAGCTGTGCACACTGGCATGTTGAGAAAGGTGGAGATAGGCATGTTCTGTGGCAAGCATCACTTCAGAAGTCCCTGGTAGTTAGCAAATTTTGATATTTTCTCCAGGTCATGCCGGTGTGTTGGAAAATGTGCAGGTAGATAGACTGGCCAGTTCTCCGCTGGATGTTGTGAGGCCCATTGGGACTGAGTGAACAGAGCAGAGACACAAGATGATTACTGTGTATATGCTGTTTTGTAGGTTTGCCTGTTGCATGTTAGTAAGGATTTTGTTAATTATTAATATTTTGAACTGTGCTGTTCCATTGAACAGCGGAACAAAGGTGTGAATAAAGAGAAGAATAAGTCATATTTCACGGAATCAAAATCAAATACAGAGGTTCTGGACAGACTGTGAGTGAGAGAAAAAGCAGAAGTCAGATTTCTGCCATCGAAGAAACGAGAAACCCAGAAGTCGTCGGCAATCACACATATTGGTTCGTGAAGCGAAGCGTGAGTCAAGATCAGCATGGGCAAACACCGTACAGGAGAAATACGTCAAGTATGACCATGGAGATAGCTGATGCACTCGCACGGGTAGCAGAACAAGCGGCCACATATGCGGTAATCGTTTCAGACTCCATGAACATGCTTCGGAAAATCGCTACAGGTAGTCAGTCTCCGCTCGGAATGAGTAGAAAGTAAGCATTTTGAAGTCGCCGTTAACCTTCATCATCTGGATCTACACGCCTGGCAACGCATGAGTAAATGGCAATGAAAGAGCTGACTAGCTGGCAAGTAATGCATTAATGCAAACTGGAAGAATCATGGACAGAGGTGACATCATCAACGCTGCACGGACTAAGTTGGGGGATGAATGACGAATTTATCACGCTAAGACAAATGCGTGCCCAAGGAGTTGAGCTTGGTGATGTACGCCTATGCCATCTTCGAGGTAAAGACAGGAGAATGTTGAATCAAGAATCGACATCACAGCACTCGTCGGGACACTCCAATAAGTTCTCCGTCACCATCTTTAGCAGCAAGCGAAAAGTTCCAATTCAGATAGCACCAGTGACTGTCTGATTAAATATCCGTCTCATCCTTTCCCTGAGTGTTGAGCGTCGGCCATTTCCCCTAAAGACAGGAGACACTATAGCCAACTCTTCATGGAAATAATCAGCAGAGGTACATTAAGTGGCTGCTGCATCGGAGGTCTGTGTACATATGGAGATGCCCAATGTGCTATTGTTTTCTTAGAGGGGAGAATTTCTTTGATTTTTGTTTAGAATCGATTGTGATAAGAAAACACAGCATAACAATCATGGAAAGATATAAAAACGAGTAGATCAGCGAGCTGTACATTTCACAAACAAAACGTAAACGTGGGGGCTATAGAGCCTTCATAAGCATGTACATAAATCAAACTGACGTAAAACAAGGGAAACGGGGCAGCTAGGAGAGAATGCGAACGATAACACTCAGTAATTGCCATTTTGCTGAATTTGAATGTAGAGGAGAATGTTTACGCAGAGCATAACAATCAGTCAGTTATTCGGTTACATCGGAGTTGGAACTCTTCACGGGTTGCTAAAAGATGGAGACGGAGCACTTATGGAGTGTCCCGAGCGCTGTGATTATCTGTTCTAGAAAGTCGGCTCAACTAAGTGGATATTTTTAGTTGTGGATTCGTTCTCTAAAATTAGCCCTAGCGCGCCACGTGTGCACCAAACAGGCACCAGAAGTGAACGGAAGTGCTCATCCTAGTAGTCACCGCCATCTTGTCTTGCTCGACCTACGACTGCTTGCACACGACACTGAACCTAGAGCTAATCTTAGAACATCCACGTGCATAGCCGGGTAGTTTGTAAACATCGCACACCGTTCAGTTTCTGTTCGATTCTTTTATTTATTGTTGGCATTTTGCTGGGTCTGAATGTAGCGGAGAATGTGTACGCAGAAGAGATATGCTGAAGAGAAAGAACGTCACTCGATTCATGAAGGCCGTCATGGCGGTGGCTGTTTGTCTCGCAAGCTCGATTGTGCAAGTAGAACCACTACTACCCGAAGCAGGAATGCCAGATCAAAACCTGAAAGTAGATACGTAGAATCTACAAGCTGGAGGAATGTTCAAGTGTGTAACAATTCTAGCAGTAATTTTAAAGGAAGATGTATCCTCTCCGAGCAGTCAATTCAATGCCGTCACATTATCTGTCTGTTGTTTGCTTGTTTGGCCATGACAGCCTCGGCTCAACACTCGACCAGCGGTTACGACGCGTCCTCGTCTCCACGACCAGACGCAGCTAAGTCACAGAACTGGCCTGTTCCTGATGATAGAAACGCCCACATTCCATTACTAGCTGAAAGACACATTTCAGCTGAAAAACCTGCCACTCCAGGAGTAACGTCCCAACCTACAACAGACAGGTTAACATCACAAGTTGTTGATAATCAACAGAAAAACAGCAAGTTTAAAGAAAGCCGACCCAATGCTGCATTAAAGTCAATAGAAGTTGATGGAGTAAAGAACAGCATTTCCAAAGAAAGTCCAGCAAATGCGGAATCCAAGGCGGCAGTGAATAATAAAAATAATGTTGACGAAGAAAGTGTGTACTTTATTTTACATGTTTTTCACAGATACAGCAAAAGTGACTTTTTGCTTATGACAGATTTTGAATTATTGCTAGCAAAAATTGGTTTTATCCCCGCCTTAAATAGCTCAGAGATTGTTGATCGTTCACACAATCATAACAACGGACATAATGATCACACGCATGATCATGATAACCATGCCAATCATTCTCACAATCATGCCGATCATTCACATGACCATAACAGCGACCATGTCGATCATTCGCATAATCATGAGCAGCAGCAAACAGGGCATGGAGAGGAACTTGCACAAAACCCTCGCCTCGACCATTCCACCCATTTCACCTCCCTGCTGAACGAGTCTGTGCCTGTCACTGCCTCAAGTTTGCAGGAGACGACCTTTGACCAGCAAAGTACACAAGCTGTTGATGTAACAACAGATAATTCTCACAGACATAGAAGAAACACATCGCCACATCAACATGGAGAACATAATAAGGTGTGTTTTTCAGTGTTTGGTTTAAATGTTATATGTTGTGGTGGGTACTTAAAAAGGCTTACCTGGGCAACTAATGCTTGAAGTCATATGATGTGTCCCTGAAAAGCACAAATATCACAATCTCAGCTAAATTACGTGCTTGGATGAACACAAAGGAAGAAGTGTTAACCCTTTCACCCCGTGAATACTCTGAACCCACACACAAAAAATGGGTTGTCAACCCTTAAGAATTCACAAAAAGAAAAATTCTTTAAAAATTATTTCTTCACAGTTAACTAATAAATGGTTTTAAAATTTGTTTTGTCTACATTTTTAAACCTATTTTTCCCCGTGTGGGTTCCATTGCCCTATTAAAGGGAAAACACTGCCTACCCAAAAGCATGTCGAAAGAGTCAACTAATTGGGAGCTTCCGTCGGAGTGCATCTGCCTGTGAGACAAGAAACCAACAGTCTGCACACACATGTGTCTGATCTGTCAAACTGATGTACATGCAACACTCAGGTACTGGAACAGGACTGCAGTCCAGAAGTGGACAAACAACCAGAATTTTCCACCAGAGATTACAGCTGGTGAACTCGTAGAAGAAGAAACCTATTCTGAAATTTAAAAAGGGGATAATTATTAAATAAGAATGAAGTAAGTAAAGCATTAAATAGAATGCCTCCCCAGAGTCTTGTTCCAGAACATGAGTTTCGTGTGCACATCTGTTTTACAGATCTAGCTCATTTGTGTGTAGACTGTTGGAACCCACACTGGGAAAGGCTTTCTTGACATAGTAGCCAAGATGCATTTTAAAAATCTGTTTCTCAACTTTCACTGGCTGTAAACTCAGGTGGAAAGCTCTGTTTGGTCATCTACTTCTGGACATTATGTTTCATGTGCACACCTGTTTGACAGATCTTGCTTATTTGTGTGCATACTGTTGGTAACCCGCGTCTCAGGCAGATGCAATCCCAACTTTGTAGGAAACACCCCTAATTAACCTAACCACCTTTTACGGCATGATTGTTTAGGTGGGGGATGGGGGTGCGGAAGTGGATGTGCTTTTTTTCTCTTTTTCAAAACTCCAAAATGGAACCTTAGAGCCCACACAGATCATGTTTTTAATCAACCCACTGCAGGTTCAGATCCAAGACCTGTTGGCAGGCAGGCATCAAGCCCCTGTACCACCTTGGCTTTCTTTCATGTCCATGATGTGCCCAGTATCTCATGCCCTTGGTGGTGGGGGTTGATGCCTACCTTTTCTTATCCAGAGCATACCAAACCTGCCTCTTTATAGATGTCATCATCATCATCAGTCAGATGCCGCATCCAAGCTGAAGGTTGGCTGCAATGGATCTTTAACTGTCTCTTGTCTTGGTTGTACTCTCTTTCGCACTGCTGTTTGTGAATTTCTCTTGATATTGTCTTCCCACTTGTATTGTTGTCTACCTCTTGCTTTGTTACTCTTGTCCTTTCACTCCAGTGTGATTTTTGAAAGAGTGTTATGTGTTTTAATGTGGCCAAAATTATAAATTGTTTCTGTTATATTGATTTCACTAATTCATTTGTAATCTATCCAGAACCTCTGTATTTGTTTTGTTTCCATAAAATATAGCCTGTTTTGTTTTTTGTAAACCCACATTTTCAGAGACAAATTCGATTTTCTGGTTGCTTGTTATGTAGCACGTCTTTACAGAACAGAACATCCCTCCCATCACAGCTTATCTGAGTTCCCGGTCAGCTTTCCTGTCTTGAAAATTTTCCTGCCCAAGCTGTCTCTTACTGCCCTTCTTACTTGGTGTCATCTCCGCAACCACTGTTCTTTCAAACCCTCTAGCATTTGAATATGGCCAAATTATTTCAGTTTCCAAGAAAAGATGCCGTTTACTAGCCAATTTTCCTTGATATTCAGTTGTTGGTATTTCTTGTTTTCTTGGATCATGGTATTCTAAGTTAATTGTTCGAGGTTCAAACATCACTATTGATGGGTTGCTCAGTAACTGCTCTGTTTCCATGTCACTGGTAATCACATAACATATCTGCCACTGTTCCATTTGAGAACCAATGAAAAACTTGTTAAGCCTAACAGTCTTGAAGCTTAATCACATAAATTGTCCGCCACTGTTCCATTTGAGAGCTGATGAAAAACTTGTCATGTCTAGCACTCTCTTGAAACTTGCACACGAGGTGTAAAACTACATTTCAGAAACTTGAATGAATTTAGAATTGACATCCCTACACATGCTCCTTATTCAGTAGCCAAGGAAGTGTTGATATGCTAATAATACCTGTTGCAACCTGATTAAAAGTCGGCCTATTCCTGTGTTTTCCTGCAGTGTTGACTATCTTCCAGACCCCGGGCTCAACCCTCGCTGAATTAGTCTGTGAGTGTATGGATGCTTGGTCAGTTCTGTTGCACTGTCCACTTGATCGCAGAGAGCCACACTTCTGCTTTGTCATAACGTAGCTCGCCACCCATAGGCACGGCAGCTGCTGATCTATCAGCTTGTTCACTACCCTGCACACCTGAATATCCTGGACAGAAAATCTAGGATATGATCCTGATCAGTCTTAGCAAGCGAAGCTAGCCACTGTAGGTATATAGCCCCAGTTTCTATTTTCCGAAGCATGCTCTGTGAGTATGTTCAGTCACCATGAGTTTTTCTGTGCTGCTCTTGAGCCATCAGAAAGCTGCCGTTGCCATCCTTACCTCATTCTTAAACTGGGTGTTGTGATGTTATACACAAGGCTCTCTGTTTTTGAAAGTGTCAATAAATCTTTGCTATAAAAACCCACTCTTTTTACTCTCAGTGCTGACCCATCTGTGTGTTATATAATGTCTCCTGGGCATGACTTTCCACTGATCAGCTCTTGCATGGGAGCCTCTGTTTCACCAGCTGTCAACTCTCGGCACCATCGGTTTAAGGTAATTATCACTGTGTGCAAGTTTGTTGTTTGCCGAGTGGCATTGTAACCCATTCCTCACCCTGCCTATCTTGTCAGTAGCCCAAACTGTTTTGACCGAGACTTCTGCTGGTGCCATCCAAGAGCTACCTCTTTTCAGCTGATGCCCTTTGCATGTCCCCTAAAGTTACATGTAGAAGGTGTTCACTGTCCTTTGCAACTTTAGGGTACATTTTTGCTTGTAAAACCTTGTATCATTCATATAGGGACGGCAGTGCAAGTATGGGCCGCATGCAACAACAACACATACAAAAACATTTCAGATATCCACAACTCAGTGTTGCACCAACCACCCAACTCAGTAAAAAAAATGTCAAGATGTATGTTTTGTATATTTCAGTGCCTTTCAACCAAAGAACTTCTACAACTGTTCCAGTATGAAAACCTAGACAGGCTAAACGCTGACCATTTCTGGCACCTGTGTCCAGCTTTAATTGACCAGCTTGATGCCGGCTATTGCAGGAAAGAACCTCCCGTGACAGGAAGCAAGGACCTGAGGACTGATCAGTCACATCCCAAGCATGAACACACCCATAATGACCATCATCACAACACAGATGCTGACCTACATGATCACGACCACGCAGGGACAAATAAAACAGGCCTGCAGGGTCACCCAGAGGCACAGCCTGTGACTGCCGCAGGTACAATTTTACACAGATTCTGAGTGCATAATCTGTTTAACATTAACACTGTAAACATATAAAATTTGTTTCATGCACACACTAAATGAACATTTGTTTTATCTAAACACAATGAACATATATGGTTTATGTTAACAGATAAACATATATGGTTTATGTTAACAGATGAACATATTTGTATTATCTAAACACAGTGAATGTATTGGTTCCACTTAAGCAGAATGCACACATCATTCATTTCACTTTAAAAATCTGAACACATCATTTGTTTTATCTAAACGTGGAGCATACAATTTGTTTTATCTAAACTTTGACGTAAGGATCAGGAAAGTATATAACTGCAGTGGTGAAATCCTTAATAGTTGCTAAAGAGAGGGTGTAAAGATTGCATGCTCTGGCAGATACTTTAGAGCAGGAAGTCCCAGCATAGAAAGATGCGAATGGCAGTGATCCGTGGGCCACTTGCTTGGCCTCCGCAGGCTGCCAGTTAAATATCCCTGCTATGGAGGGAGGCTTGTGTCTCTTGGAATCTCAACTTTATTAATTAAACATGCTAAATTAAACAGTTTACAATTGAGTCTCATGCATCCTCATAGCTCAATATAAGACTATCGCCTGGAAAGACGGAAAGGTGCCAATCAATCAATTGACAGGCAAAAAAGCCAGACCTTTGAAAAAGCACAAATTGCAGGCAGGCCAGTAACCGTTGTATCTTTAATGTGTTTGATGTGCCTTGGGCTTTTTTGTAGAAAAAATGTCGGTACTGACCACACAGTATGGGTACTCTCCACACAGTGTGGGTACTCACCACACAGTGTGGGTACTGTCCACAGTGTGGGTACTCACCACAGTCTCAGTACTCACCACACAGTGTGAGTACTCACCACACAGTGTCTGTTACCTTAACGCTCAACACATCATGCTTATGTCAGGATTGACCAGCATTACATGGCTTCTCTGGACTGGCCTGATGTGGGGCACCACCTATGTTCTAGGGGAAACACTGATCATACAACGATGAAACTGCAGTGGGGCACCACCTATGTTCTAGGGGAAACACTGATCATACAACAATGAAACTGCAGTGGGGCAATACCTATGTTCTAGGGGAAAAACTGATCATACAACGATGAAACTGCAGTGGGGCACCACCTATGTTCTAGGGGAAAAACTGATCACACAACGATGAAACTGCAGTGGGGCACCACCTATGTTCTAGGGGAAACACTGATCATACAACGATGAAACTGCAGTGGGGCACCACCTATGTTCTAGGGAAAAAACTGATCACACAACGATGAAACTGCAGTGGGGCACCACCTATGTTCTAGGGGAAACACTGATCATACAACGATGAAACTGCAGTGGGGCACCACCTATGTTCTAGGGAAAACACTGATCATACAACGATGAAACTGCAGTGGGGCACCACCTATGTTCTAGGGAAAACACTGATCATACAACGATGAAACTGCAGTGGGGCACCACCTATGTTCTAGGGAAAACACTGATCATACAACGATGAAACTGCAGTGGGGCACCACCTATGTTCTAGGGGAAACACTGATCATACAACGATGAAACTGCAGTGGGGCACCACCTTTGTTCTAGGGGAAACACTGATCATACAACGATGAAACTGCAGTGGGGCACCACCTATGTTCTAGGGAAAACACTGATCATACAACGATGAAACTGCAGTGGGGCACCACCTATGTTCTAGGGAAAACACTGATCATACAACGATGAAACTGCAGTGGGGCACCACCTATGTTCTAGGGAAAACACTGATCACACAACGATGAAACTGCAGTGGGGCACCGCCTATGTTCTAGGGAAAACACTGATTACACAAGGATGAAACTGCAGTGTCCCACGTGGACTGGCCTGATGTGGGGCGCCACCTATGTTCTAGGGAAAACACTGATCATACAACGATGAAACTGCAGTGGGGCACCACCTATGTTCTAGGGAAAACACTGATCATACAACGATGAAACTGCAGTGGGGCACCACCTATGTTCTAGGGAAAACACTGATCATACAACGATGAAACTGCAGTGGGGCACCACCTATGTTCTAGGGAAAACACTGATCACACAACGATGAAACTGCAGTGGGGCACCGCCTATGTTCTAGGGAAAACACTGATTACACAAGGATGAAACTGCAGTGTCCCACGTGGACTGGCCTGATGTGGGGCGCCACCTATGTTCTAGGGAAAAAACTGATCACACAACGATGAAACTGCAGTGGGGCTCCACCTATGTTCTAGGGGAAACTGATCATACAACGATGAAACTGCAGTGGGGCACCACCTATGTTCTAGGGAAAACACTGATCACACAACGATGAAACTGCAGTGGGGCACCACCTATGTTCTAGGGGAAACTGATCATACAACGATGAAACTGCAGTGGGGCACCACCTATGTTCTAGGGGAAACACTGATTACACAACGATAAAACTGCAGTGGGGCACCACCTATGTTCTAGGGGAAACACTGATCATACAACGATGAAACTGCAGTGGGGCACCACCTATGTTCTAGGGAAAACACTGATTACACAACGATAAAACTGCAGTGGGGCACCACCTATGTTCTAGGGAAAACACTGATTACACAACGATAAAACTGCAGTGGGGCACCACCTATGTTCTAGGGAAAACACTGATTACACAACGATAAAACTGCAGTGGGGCACCACCTATGTTCTAGGGAAAACACTGATTACACAACGATAAAACTGCAGTGGGGCATCACCTATGTTCTAGGGAAAAAACTGATTACACAACGATAAAACTGCAGTGGGGCATCACCTATGTTCTAGGGAAAAAACTGATTACACAACGATAAAACTGCAGTGGGGCATCACCTATGTTCTAGGGAAAACACTGATTACACAACGATAAAACTGCAGTGGGGCACCACCTATGTTCTAGGGAAAACACTGATTACACAACGATAAAACTGCAGTGGGGCACCACCTATGTTCTAGGGAAAACACTGATTACACAACGATAAAACTGCAGTGGGGCATCACCTATGTTCTAGGGAAAACACTGATCACACAACGATGAAACTGCAGTGTCTTACGGCACTAATCGGAAAGGCTAATCTGGTCAACAAATGCTTGTAGAATAAGGATGTGAAAGGCACAAGTATCTCACAATCTTGCTGTAAGCGGGCACAGTGCTGTTACATTGGATGAACACAGAAAAAGAATGCTAAGCTTGTCTTGTATAGACTACGAGCCATGTGTGTGGTGTGTATAGTCACAGCAGGATGATGTTATAGGTGGAACATTATAATATAATTGTCTTGGTTGTGTCTCCAGGGAACATTATAATATAATTAACTGTCTTGGTTGTGTCTCCAGTGTGGTTCTATGCCTTGCTGTCTGTGGCTGTCATCAGTCTCTGCAGTGTGGCCGGAGTCGTGGTGATTCCCAACATGAAACGAGTCTTCTACAACCACATCTTACAGTTCCTGGTGGCCCTGGCTGTTGGGGCCATGTCTGGTGATGCCTTGCTGCATCTTCTCCCTCATGTAATGTATTACTAATCTGTTGTCTTGATGTTGTGATAGTGCCATGTTTGCCTAAAAACAAGACCAGATGTTATATCATTTGCTGCAAAAGACTCTTTAGGGTTTATTTTGCTATAATGTCAATTCAAGTGCATTCCTTACATTACAACTTTTCTTTTCATTCCTCTGAGTGATGTAATTGCGTTGTGCCAGTCTACAGCAAAGCTGGGATGTGTGTGCCTTTCAGTTGGCGTCCGACTTCATCGAGCATTTGTTGACCTGGTTAACTTCCTGGAATTTCTAATTCAGTACGTCCTTTGTATTTTTCAACGGGCCGACAAAATGTATCAGTCTAACTGCCAGTCTTAACCGAGGCTTATATTTGGGGGAGGTTTTAAATTATGAGAAAATAATCCAGTCATCTCCTTGTGAGATGCAATTTTTCATTATTTGAAGCCCTACTCTGGCTCTTGCCAGGGGCCGCAATATAGCCCGACAATAAATATGGTCTAATGGCTGAACTTGGTTTCTGGGACCTCTCCACGGTGATCCTCATCCACGTGGTGGCACTTTGTGTCATCGGGTGTTCATTGCTTGTGTGATGTCCTAGTGGGGTAAAATTCTACTAATTACGAGCATCCATTTTTTTTTGGTTTTGATTGCGTCTTATTTTCTCGGGAAAACACATTTGCATTGTTTACAGAAGGGAGCTGCTAATATATATTGACTTACATGCTGGCTCAGTTGTCGTGTGTTCGAATACCCATTGAAGTCAGTATATTTTAAGATTTCTTTAAGTTAAGATAAAAAGTTTTGGAAAGTAATGGCGGTTGGCTTGCATTTGAATACATCAGGCACGGGCTGGTCTGTTAACAAAAAAATTGACTAGCTAGCATCATATACCCACATAGGCCCTAAGACATGAAAACAGGTCATTAATTTATCTTCTTATTTTACAGACCTGCATAGACGATTCTGACGGGTACCTCCAATATTAATTTCATCTTTGGGTGTTATGTTGCCATAGTTATTACTTATAAGGTGTAGACTGCTTAAGGCAATCTCGGCTGTGGCAAATTTTTGTTGTGAAGAACAATTTGTTTATCCCCTGCGACTTTTCTTGCTTATACTCTTCTCTGGATAAGAAGAATTTCTGATCAGAAGGACCATTTGTTGGGTCCCTGATGAGTTCTCCCTATCAAATCTGCACTGTATGTTGTTTGAAGCTTAGAAGATTGGCACTTGTGTCCAGATTGCCACCTCCAAATGCTGCTGTGATTATTTGTTAATACACACACAGAAAAAAAGGAACACGGTTGTGTTGTTTTCTTTCCCACACACGCTCATGCACTTGTTAAAAAAAAATCACACACTAGTTAGAAATACTACACAGTAGACCTTGAGTATCACTGTCCTAGCAAAGTTTCCAAATATTATAACCCACAGACGTATCACTGTATGGTATGTGCTAATGCTATACATGTCATAAAAAGGAGGGTTGCTATATCGGTACCTATCTCAACACCACCCCCCCCCCCTTTCCATTTCCCTGTAAACTTCATCATCATCCTGTAACACTACGTGTCGTTGGGTCATCAGTTTCTGGTGACGGTCTGATCAGCTCTCTCTAGTCTCTACCTTTGGTAGTCAGTTGCGATGGACTTCATTTTTGCATGCTTGAGGCCTGTCCAGTCAGTAAAATTCTGTAACCTTTGGTTGTGACTTGCGTAAGGACGTGAATTTAAGTGAGAAAGAGTTGCGCAATTCGTAGACTCTCGCCTGTGTCCATCTTGATCCAAAGGCAGGACAATGTCAAGACGATTGGAAATGGACCTAGGTCCAGTGGATGACCAAGGCGTCTTAAGTGCCCTGCCTTGCTCGAAGCTCTCTACAGAGTCTGCTGGTAACTGCCTTCTTGTCCGTTGAACCAATAAGAGGTTTCATCTGCCGAGTCCAGTCTTTGCACACGGGGTAGGCATATCCAGATCACTGAGTCGTTTAGAACCAGGCTACCCTCTTCTGGTTTAGCCAGCCCGTCAAAGCTGTTGCCCGGCGGGTGGCCACTGTCGCATGCTGACAGCTGCTGGGAGCCACAGGAGAGCTGAGTGCCGACCTAGCCCAGTGGTTATGAACTGCCCTAAGAAGGACATGACGGTCACCTTGCCAGAGGTACTACTAGTATCTGACGTCTCAGACCCCTTTGGTAACCAAAGATATATAACATATTTAATATTACAACAATAGAAACCAGATGTTACCTACATAATCCCTGTCTGGGAGATGAGAAAACAACATTATTGTTTGCTGTGTAGAGCATGTTTTAACATATGGCTGTGAATCCTGGATGGTTAACAAACAAAATAAAAACAATTTAAGGCCTCAGAGATGTTGTACAGTAGACTGCTTAAAATACTTTGGAGAGTAACCAAGATGTTTTGACAGAGGTGAGGACTCAAAGACATCTTATCCCAGAAGGAGACAGTCATCATTTCTGGGACCATGTTATGGCGAAGAGGGAAAATGGAGCATTTTATGTCTACTGGAGAGATTAGTAACCACATCCCCCACCACGTCATGATTGGTTTATAAAATATAGGTCTAGCCTTATATGCACAATGCACCTCATGGTGTGCAAAAGGGGCATTTACTATTTTTCCCCAAACCCTCATTGTTAATATTATATGGGAGTTTGTAGAACAGATGTATAAATCCTTTCAGCTCCATCATTAGCATGTGCTGTGTCCAAAACATGTCTGTAATACCCACAACTGTATTAGGCATTCTTACAATATATACTGTAAGATGTGCTCTAAGTCTGATCATCATCAAGTGCCTTGCCAAACAGAACGGATAATAATGTTTTTGGGGACCATGTTGTGGGGAAGAGGGAAAATGAAACATATTTTATCCACTGGAGAGATTTAGTGGATAAAAAGACAGAGGAAGACAACATGAGAAGATTCTTGTCAGTCTTTTTATGGCTTGGAGGGGTATCAGCACACGAGCTGATGAATGCTGTTTGTAGTTTGTGGAGAGGCATGATCACCCACACCAATCTGCAAGGCACTTCTTCTTCTTCTTTGCGTTCACCAGCTGTAAACTCTGATGGAAAGTTCTGGTTGTTCGTACACTTTTGGACTGCAGTCCTGTTCCAGAACCTGAGTGTTGCATGTGCATCTGTTTGACAGATCTGACACATTTGTATACAGACTGCTGGTTCTTTGTCTCTCAGGCAGATGCACTTCAACTTTGAAGGAAGCTCCCAATTAGTCAACTCTTACGACATGCTTTTGGGAAGGCAGTGGGTCTGTTCTTGTTTTTTCTATAACAGGGCCCTGGAACCCACACAGGGGAAGGCACTTATTGATAGATCTGATGTTTTCCACCCACAGGCAATGTTGTCAGACTCGCACGACCATCATCATCATCTCCACCATGGTGAGAATGACACTGACCATCCACACAAGCCCAACCATCAGGAAGAAGCCAGCGGTAGGGTGTCCACTCACATGGTGGGTGTCTACAAGGGTCTGGTGGCACTGCTGGGCATCTACAGCTTCTTCTTCCTGGAGAGACTGTTCACCCTCTTCACCAGCAGCCGCAGCGGCAAGAGAGAGAGGAAGCACAAGCGAAGGAGGCACTGTAGTGGCGGGGTAAGTTTTTCACTGAACATGGTACAGGATGCCATTGGGCAGTCTTTTCCATGTGATGGCCTAGCCTGCAAAAAAGACTTTAGGGGGGTGGGGGGTGTGTAATCATCCACACAAAATTGGGACCATCTTCTTTACATTCACCAGTTATAAATAAACTCCGGTGGAATTTCCACTCCTAGACTTAAGTCTTGTTCCAGAATCTGAATTTTGCGTACACAGCAGTTTTACAGATCTGGCTTATTTGTATTCAGATTGTTGGTCTCTCGCCTCTCAGGCAGATGCACTCTGACTGAGAAAGAAAAACCTCTAATTAGTAAACTTTTACAACATGCTTGTTCAGGGTGTTGTGGGCTTATTCCCCCCCCCCCCCCCCCCCCCCCCCCCCTCACTTCAGATCTTTTCGTGTGTAGCACCTGCGTTGGTAGTTCTGGGTGAATTCTTAGTAGTTGACCAAACCATTTTGTCTTCTAACATTTTCTACATGCTGTTGTTCCTACAGTCTGTCTGATAATATCATTTCTAACTTTGTCTCGGATAGTTAATTTGATGGCTTCTCTCAGGCATCTCATTTCTTATGTGTTAATGTTACGTAGGTTAGACTTTGATAATGTCCAAGTCTGGCACTGGTAGCTCAGTTTTGCTATGAATATGCCGTTTATAATCTGCTTCTTGGTACTAATACTCATGTTTAGATCTCATAATAAGGGTGTCAGTTGGTTTATAAGTGCACTGGCTCATTGGTGTCTTGTTTCTATTTCTTGATCTATTTTTCCGTCCTCTGAGAATATGCTTCCGAGATATTTAAATTCTTTTACTTGCTTCAGACGAGTACCATTCAGCCCGATATGTAGCCGATGACCATGCATGACTTCTTAGTTTTAGCAGTATTTAGTACAAGAGACAACATTGCAGATATAGATGGTCTGCTTCAAAGGAACACCATAATCTATTTCAAGTGAACGGAAAAAGTTGTGGTCATAATTTTCACGTTAAATCTTCAGCATATTGAATTTAGCCTGTTCGCATATTCATGCAGTCTACATCCCTGCATATAGTAGCTCATTTCTTGTAAGTGGATCTAATTCTTCCTCCCGAAAGTAAAGTTCCTCATTTTCTGGATTTTCGGGGCCGACTGCTTTAAAGCTGGCTACCAGACTACAGTAAAACATGTTAACACAAATTTTAAGGGACCGAAAATTGAGTTCACATTTAAAAATATTTGTGCTACCCGGAGACTAACGACAAATATAATTCCCGCTGGAATCCAAATATTGTTCATATTAACCTAATTTTCTTAAACAGGTTCGTTAATGAGGATAGCATGAAAACAGATTTAATCAAAGCTTATAAAAATGGTTACTATTCTGAAAATATTTTTTAATCTTATGTGTAATGTGAAGTCAGATATAATTTATACAAAATATGAGGTAAAAACCCATTAGTAGTAAGTCAAGCAGTTACATAAATAATGAAGACAGTAGTGCATTCTGAGCATATTAAAAAGAATGATATGACAAACCACAAATGTAACAGAATTGGGTCAGGTGATATGTAGGAAATAAACTGGGAATGGAACATAAAATAATCTAACAGTTAATATTTTGTGTGCTTTTCTTCAGCAGGTGAATTGTATGTGTGAGGCTTTGGTAATTCTTATTGTCAGTTGATTTGGTCCTTTCTTTTGTGAAAGCAGGAGCAAAGGAGCAAGGCATTTCATATGGTAAATTCTAAGCTGGAGACTGAGGGCAAGAATGCACCTTCCTGTGAAGAGATGGTGATGATTGTTCATCCAAATAAAGGTACTACTGTTTTGTTGTTGGTTCTCTTTCTTATTTGTATGGACTAGCTGGGTGAGAATAGTTGCGTGAGAATCTCTGGGAGAATAGTTGCGTGAGAATCTTTGGGAGAATAGTTGCGTGAGAAATCTGTGGGAGAATAGTTGCATGAGAATCTCTGGGAGAATAGTTGCGGGAGAGTCTTTGGGAGAATAGTTGCGTGAGAATCTCTGGGAGAATAGTTCATGAGAATCTCTGGGAGAATAGTTGCGTGAGAATCTCTGGGAGAATAGTTCATGAGAATCTCTGGGAGAATAGTTGCGTGAGAATCTCTGGGAGAATAGTTGCGTGAGAATCTCTGGGAGAATAGTTGCGTGAGAATCTCTGGGAGAATAGTTGCGTGAGAATCTTTGAGAGAATAGTTGCGTGAGAATCTCTGGGAGAATAGTTGCGTGAGAATCTCTGGGAGAATAAGTTTTATTTCTCTTCAAACTAAGTTGTACATTGCTTACAACTAATTTTTTCATAATTTCAGACTAGGTTTTATATAGTTTCAAGCTAAGTTTTATATTGCTTCAAACTAGGTTTTATATCACTTCTGAGTTTGACTTCCTTTCAGAATTTTGCAACTCGTTAGTCCAATAATGTCATAACTGATAGGAGATTAGAGGGTGACGTATTGACAGCAAAACAATCATAGGTGTAGTAGACGTGCAGGGATGAAATACACAACCATTTTAGCAGATAGAAGTGTGGTTGGAGTGCTTGAGTATGCCCTGACTAAGTGGAAATGGGTAATGTCTGATCACACATGGTGCATCGTTTAGGGCTTGAGGAGTTCATTTTGGCGTGTTGAGGTGCAGGTCTTTTGAGTCCTGGACAGGGCTTGTTTAGTGGTAAGTGTTTGCTGCTTCTGTCAGCTTTGGATTGTGTGTTTGATTCCACTTTAAGGCAGACACTGAGCCCTCCTTTGACTCCTCCTAAAATGGGCACCCATAATTCCCTGAGAAGTACAGGTAGTGACCATGTGATCTGGTGAGTGCTGATTGGTCTGTTCAGTTTTATGTACTAGTACCATAAACCAAATATGCCTAAAGATGCTGAAAAGTATTCTTTACTGGCCAAACCCCCCCCCCCTCTTTTTTTGTTTGTATGAGGGTTGACACACTGCATATGGGGTGTTTCCCTTGAAATCAGAGTATATCTTCCTGAGAGTGGGTAACTAACAGTCTGCCTACAAATAAACCAGATCTGTCAAACGGATGTGCATGCAAAGCTCATGTTCTGGAACAAGATTAAAGTCCAGCAGTGGACAAACAACCAGAACTTTCCAACAGAGTTTACAAGAGGTGAACAGAAAAAGAAGAAGAATTATTTGTTGTTTACAGTCGATTTGCTGAGATGTTCATTAGCAAACACCACATGCTCTGGCTCATGTACAATATTTGTCAACCCAATTGTGTTTCAATCTTTCAACAGCTTTGAGAGCATATGCAGATGTCAGCCATGAGGCTTACCTGCACCGCTGTGACGAATCGCTAGTTCATTCTCCGCCGGCTCAGAATGTTGTGGCAGCTGCACCGGGCCGAGACCAGCTGGCTCTCAAAGAGGATTGTTCAACCTTGGAGGGTTTCACCAACCTGGGAGTGGCTGGTTGGAGTGGGGACCAGATTCCAGCTGCTGTGTCCGATGCTGAAATCGTTGGGTAACTATTGTTTCTCATCACAATTGTTATTTCCTCTGAACAGTGAGCTCAGAAACAGGTACTTGCTCACTGAATGGACACAGAATTTGAAGCTATGTAGTTTTGAAGAGAACCTCCCGAAAAAGGGCAGAGTTAATCTCCATGTGGGTTTCGGTGCCCCGTTGTGGGGAAAACAAGAATAGACCCACTGTCCTCCCAGCAAGCATGTCGTAGGAGTCGACTAAATGGGGACTTCCTTCGAAGTCGGAGTGCATTTGCTGACTTGAGTGGCATGGAACAACCAGCTCCACAAAAATAAGCCAGTAAAACGAATGTACACAAAAAACTCGGGCCCTGGCATATAGCCGAAGTAAAAATGGACAAACAACATGGACTTTCCATCAGAGCTTTTAGCCGGTGAACAGAGAAGATTGTGAAAATTTGACAGTATCTTCTTATTCTATTGTTTATCAAACCATAGAGCAAAGACCCTTAACCAACTGATGTTCTGTTAGTCTGCCAGTAAAATCATGAACAGTTTAATCATGAAGAGATTTGCTACAGAAATGAATTAGTTAGTCTTTTTCTCTTGAGCCTAGGGCAGCGTGTAGGGCCGAGGTCATAGCTCTCCATGTCTGGCAGTTCGTTGCCACCTGTTTTAGGCTTTGGATGTTTGTTAGGCCCATGGTTGAGCCTTTCCTGATGATGGTTCTACAGAGGGTCTCTCCTGGTCTTCCCAGTTTTCATTTTCCTTCTGGTGTCCATAGCAGGGCTTGATAGGGAAGTCTTGTCTTGTCCATTCTGGTGTGTATATGAGGGCTTGATAGGGAAGTCTTGTCTTGTCCATTCTGGTGTCCATATGAGGGCTTGATAGGGAAGTCTTGTCTTGTCCATTCTGGTGTGTATATGAGGGCTTGATAGGGAAGTCTTGTCTTGTCCATTCTGGTGTGTATATGAGGGCTTGATAGGGAAGTCTTGTCTTGTCCATTCTGGTGTCCATAGCAGGGCTTGATAGGAAAGTCTTGTCTTGTCCATTCTGGTGTCCATATGAGGACTTGATAGGGAAGTCTTGTCTTGTCCATTCTGGTGTCCATATGAGGGCTTGATAGGGAAGTCTTGTCTTGTCCATTCTGGTGTGTATATGAGGGCTTGATAGGGAAGTCTTGTCTTGTCCATTCTGGTGTCCATATGAGGGCTTGATGTGGAAGTCTTGTCTTGTCCATTCTGGTGTGTATATGAGTGCTTGATGTGGAAGTCTTGTCTTGTCCATTCTGGTGTGTATATGAGGGCCTGATAGGGAAGTCTTGTCTTGTCCATTCTGGTGTGTATATGAGGGCTTGATAGGGAAGTCTTGTCTTGTCCATTCTGGTGTCCATATGAGGGCTTGATGTGGAAGTCTTGTCTTGTCCATTCTGGTGTGTATATGAGGGCTTGATGTGGAAGTCTTGTCTTGTCCATTCTGGTGTCCATATGATGGCTTGATAGGGAAGTCTTGTCTTGTCCATTCTGGTGTCCATATGAGGGCTTGATAGGGAAGTCTTGTCTTGTCCCTTCTGGTGTGTATATGAGGGCTTGATAGGAAAGTCTTGTCTTGTCCATTCTGGTGTGTATATGAGGGCTTGATAGGGAAGTCTTGTCTTGTCCATTCTGGTGTCCATATGAGGGCTTGATAGGGAAGTCTTGTCTTGTCCATTCTGGTGTCCATAGCAGGGCTTGATAGGGAAGTCTTGTCTTGTCCATTCTGGTGTCCATATGAGGGCTTGATAGGGAAGTCTTGTCTTGTCCATTCTGGTGTCCATATGAGGGCTTGATAGGGAAGTCTTGTCTTGTCCATTCTGGTGTCCATAGCAGGGCTTGATAGGGAAGTCTTGTCTTTTCCCTTCTGGTGTGTATATGAGGGCTTGATGTGGAAGTCTTGTCTTGTCCATTCTGGTGTCCATATGAGGGCTTGATAGGGAAGTTTTGTCTTGTCCATTCTGGTGTCCATATGAGGGCTTGATAGAGAAGTCTTGTCTTGTCCATTCTGGTGTCCATATGAGGGCTTGATAGGGAAGTCTTGTCTTGTCCATTCTGGTGTGTATATGAGGGCTTAATAGGGAAGTCTTGTCTTGTCCATTCTGGTGTCCATATGAGGGCTTGATAGGGAAGTCTTGTCTTGTCCATTCTGAGTGCATGGCCGATGTAGTTCCAGCGATGCTTTCTTATATAACTGGATACATTTTCTTGCTTGATCTCTTGTGTGTTACCTGCTTGTTGGATCTGAAATCTGTCCAGTGGAGATGTGAATGCCCAGGCATCTATAGTATCCTGACAAAGAGAAAGACAAGGGTGTGTCTTATCCCCAGACCTTTTCTCTCTCTATAGTGAAATACAATTTTGAGGGAAGTTAAAGAGAATGCAGGAGTAAGAGTTGGAGAATACAATATAAACAATTTGCGTTATGCAGACAATACAGTTTTGAAAGCTGAAAATGCAACTGAAGTTAAACTGCTGGATATTGTGAAGATGGAGAGTGCTAAGAAAGGACTTTCATTGAATATTAAGAAAACGGAAGTAATGGTTATGTCAAAGAAGATGATAATTCCACGTTGTGATATCTCAGTTGAAGGAAAAAGGCTTAACCAAGTCAATAAATTTAAATATCTGGGAACAATCATATCATCAGATGGAAAATGTGTGACAGAAATTAAAAGCAGAATAGGTCAAGCAAAAGCTGCATTTCAGAAAATGAAAAATATCTTATGCAATAAAATGCTCTCATTTAATGTAAGAAAGAGGGTGCTAAAATGTTACATAGAACCTGTTCTGCTGTATGGCAGCGAATCTTGGAATTTAATTGAACAAATTAAGAAGAATTTGGAAGCAGCAGAGAAATGGTTTCTGAGACAAATGTAACGAATACCTTGGACGGCCAGAGTAACTAACGACGATTGCATGAAAGTAGATATCTATATACGGCAATAAGAAAGAGACAAACTCTGTTCTTTGGCCACATAATGAGAAGAGAGACATTGGAGAACATCGTGACAACTGGTAAGATCAGTGGGAAAAGGGGTAGAGGTAGACCAAGAGAGATGATGCTGGATGGGCTAAAACAATGGCATGGAGTGATATCATCAAGAGAGCTGTTCCAGTCAACCAGGGATCGTGATCTGTGGAGACACATGGGCGCCTACGCCAGTTGGCAGGGCACATGATGATGGTGATGACAAAGATACATGTTTTATCCTTTGGGAAGTTAGCCATAAGTTGAGTTGCCACCTTCACTAAAGACATGTTACTCCATAACTGCTCATGTGGCTGTTGAAATCATAGAAAATGTCCTTTGATGTCCCATTTGAAAAACTAAGTTAACAGTATCAGTCCAAAACAAAATCTTGAAACTCACACGTGCAAATTAAATGCATAAGGCAGTCACCGGATGTGCCAGCACTGAGAGTTTTTCACCAGAATTGCAGACTACTGTTGATGCAAACAGTTGGTTATGAAAGCTGGCCACTTCATATTACATTCTAAACGTAATTGGCGACCGCCATTGTTAGTGAAATTTGCAACACCCAACTCATGGGCACAGCAGAAAAAAAATGCAAATGAAATCAACAGATCACACCAAACACTTATTCAGCTCAGTATCAGAGTGGTTGAACTTTAAGACTTCCGGTCCAGAAATGGGGAAAATGTATCAACAAACCACGGCTTGAACAAATAGCATGTCCAGATGTCAGCCAGGCTATCCTCCATATTGAACCAGAAGCTGTTTGAGAAAACATAGCTTTATGATGCTGGAGTCTGACTTTGATTTGCCATTATGGATAGTTGTGTGGATAGGAATTTGACTGGTTTGTCACTGGGAACAATTGTGCAGATAGGAATTTGACTGGTTTGTCACTGGGAACAATTGTGCAGATAGGAATTTGACTGGTTTGTCACTGGGAACAATTGTGCAGATAGGAGTTTGACTGGTTTGTCACTGGGAACAATTGTGCAGATAGGAATTTGAATGGTTTGTCACTGGGAACAATTGTGCAGATAGGAGTTTGACTGGTTTGTCACTGGGAACAATTGTGCAGATAGGAATCTGGTGAAGATGGCTGCTATTTGTACCTTTCGATGTCACAAATGCCTTATTTGTGCATGCGTTCACCACAGTGGGCTTCCTAGTTGGTTTTTGTATGACATAACATAGCCTTGTGTGTGGGGTTTCCTCTTTGTCCTTTATTTACAAGTGTTGCCCCTGGAGAGCCTATCCATATATAGCCTGGTCTACCCTCAGGGAAAGGCAGGAGCAGATGAAGGGCATTCCCCGCCATCCAAAAGGACTCCTATAAATGCAGAGCCAACACATGATGCTTTGGTACTGGGCTCACCCAAGGAATTGTAACATCCATCCACAGGTCTGGGACTTTAATGATCCCAAAGATGGGTACAGTCTTCTTCAGCACACTAAACACCTGTAATGTTGTTGCATCAGAACACGATGCACCACAGTATAGGAGTGTACATTATCACATGCAATAAATTTGTGATTTGTGTTTCTCATTTTGCTGCCAGGATCATCAAAGACAGTGAACCTGTTGCCACCACCCACAGTCACTCGCACAGCCACCTGGCTCCAGACTTTGTGGGCCCCCTCAGCTCCGTGGCCATGATGATCATTGTTGGGGACGTGATCCACAATTTCTGCGATGGCCTAGCAGTCGGGGCTGCCTACGCTGGGAGTGTGGCTGGAGGCCTGAGTACTTCCGTGGCTGTCTTCTGCCACGAGCTGCCACATGAGATTGGTATGTTCATGCTGCGCTCTCCTGTTGGAGATGTGTCAGTGCATACACACACACACCCTCTCTCTCTCTCTCTCTCTCTCTCTCTCTCTCTCTCTCTCTCTCTCTCTCTCTCTCTCTCTCTCTCTCTCTCTCTCTCTCTCTCTCTCTCTCTCTCTCTCTCTCTCTCTCTCCCCCCCCCCTTTCCTCCCTCCCCTCCCCTCTCTATCTCTGTGTGTCTTTCTCTCTGCTTATTGTGTGTGTGTCTCTGTCTCACTCTTTCCCTCACTCTTCTTTCCCCTCTATCTGTATTTGGGTAACTCTCTGTGTGTAACACAATTGGTGTCACTCACAGGTCCCCAACAACTGACATGTTGTCGTAAAAGGGGACTAATTAGAAGTGTTTCATTCCAAGTCGAAGTGCATTTGCCTGAGAGGATTGGAACCAACTATCTGCATACAAATGTCATATTTGTAAAACAGATGTGCATACAACACAAGTTCTGGGACAAGACCAAAATCTACAAGTGAATTAATAACCAGGACCTTCCTCCAGAGTGTACTGCCAGCGAATGTCAAGAAGAAAAAAAGAAAGAAACACTTGCTCATTGATGCTAGATCACTTCCTCCCCCCCCCCCCCCCCCCCCTTTCCCTAAATTTTGCAGGCTGAATTGGCAGTTGTGAGTTCTGTGGTCACTATCTTGCCAGTTGCCGTTACTGTTCCTGTTTGAGGTTGAGTTAACTAGTGACTCAGCAGGCAGCCGTTCTGCACCTCCCAAATCCATCTGGTGAACCAACACGGAGCCCTTCTACACCTCCCAAATCCATCTGGTGAACCAACAAGCAGCTCTTCTACACCTCCCAAATCCATCTGGTGAACCAACAGGGAGCCCTTCTGCACCTCCCAAATCCATCTGGTGAACCAACAAGCAGCTCTTCTACACCTCCCAAATCCATCTGGTGAACCAACAGGGAGCCCTTCTGCACCTCCCAAATCCATCTGGTGAACCAACAAGCAGCTCTTCTACACCTCCCAAATCCATCTGGTGAACCAACAGGGAGCCCTTCTGCACCTCCCAAATCCATCTGGTGAACCAACAAGCAGCTCTTCTACACCTCCCAAATCCATCTGGTGAACCAACAGGGAGCCCTTCTGCACCTCCCAAATCCATCTGGTGAACCAACAAGCAGCTCTTCTACACCTCCCAAATCCATCTGGTGAACCAACAGGGAGCCCTTCTGCACCTCCCAAATCCATCTGGTGAACCAAGCAGCTCTTCTACACCTCCCAAATCCATCTGGTGAACCAACAGGGAGCCCTTCTGCACCTCCCAAATCCATCTGGTGAACCAACAAGCAGCTCTTCTACACCTCCCAAATCCATCTGGTGAACCAACAAGCAGCTCTTCTACACCTCCCAAATCCTTCAGGTGAACCAACAGGCAGCTCTTCTACACCTCCCAAATCCATCTGGTGAACCAACAAGCAGCTCTTCTACACCTCCCAAATCCATCTGGTGAACCAACACGGAGCCCTTCTACACCTCCCAAATCCATTTGGTGAACCAACAGGGAGCCCTTCTGCACCTCCCAAATCCATCTGGTGAACCAACAGGCAGCTCTTCTACACCTCCCAAATCCATCTGGTGAACCAACAGGCAGCTCTTCTACACCTCCCAAATCCATCTGGTGAACCAACAGGCAGCCGTTCTACACCTCCCAAATCCTGTCCAGTCGCCTGTTTAATACCAAGGGTCAAGATTTGCGGGGACAGGCAAGCTTATCACTAGTTTTCATATGAGACAGTGAAGGACATTTTGTGTGATGTTATTGACTGGCACGGAAAGGGGCGGCTATGGAACAGCCTATCAGCAGCGATGTGAGAACCTCCACTATCTAATTAAACCGGAACAGATATATCTCCTCCCCTTGTGGGTTCCAGGACCCTGTTGTAGCGGAGAGAAAACAAGAATTGACTCTTCGACCAAAAGCATGTCAGAGATGACTAATTAGAAGTTTGCTTAAATTGGATGTGTTGATGGGTCAAAAGATGCAGATATTGCAGCCAAACCGAAAACCACAACACAGTGTGCCAACTGGCCTTTAAAGGGTGACACTTTTTCCAATGTTGTTTAAAATCATACACCATGTTATGTAATTTTAAAACGTGATGATCCATTGTTTCATGTAATTTTATACAGAACCATATGTTAACATTGAATAACGAATGAATCACAAATTTATCCTGTAATTTTTATATTAAATCACAATTAACTCTGTTTTAGTTTTTGTTTTTTTATACTGAATCACACATTTACTCTGTATATGTAGACTGAATTTATACATTTAAGAATCACATTTACTCTACATTTTACACTGAATCACACATTTTCTTTAATTTGTGAACTGAAGCACATGTTGAATAATCTTTGTACAGAACCACATACTATAGTTTTTATTTTATGATGAATCACACATTGCACACTCATAATTGTCCAGGAGATTTTGCTGTGCTAGTGCGGTCAGGTCTAACCCTGAGGAAAGCCGTCTATTTCAATCTGGTCTCGTCAGTGCCATGTTTTATTGGGGCCATCATTGGCGTGGCAGTGGGCAACGTCTCGTCCACATCCTCTTGGATATTTGCTGGCGTCGGTGGCATGTTTCTCTACGTCACATTAGTGGATCTGGTAAGTTAAATGTCTGGCTGTAATGTCACTGTTCTACTCTGTGTGGGTTCCGGGTCACATTGGGGGAGGGGGGGGGGGGAGATAAACCCACTGACTTTCAATCAAGCATGTCTTAAAAGATAACTAATTTAGGCTTTTTCTCGAATGTTGAATTAAGAATCGACGTCACAGCACTCGGGACACCCCCATCTATAGCAGCACATGAAGTTACAATTCTGATGGCACCAGTAACTGTCTGTTGCGTCTCGCCCTTCCCCTGAGTGTTAAGCGTTCGCCAGATCCCCTGGTAACTCGCTCGCAGCACCATTCTCCTCAGACTGTTGTGATCTGTCTGTGCCTCCGCACTTCACTCGCTCTCAAAGGACTCACAATATCTAGCTTATATATCAGTTCACTACCAAGTGATGCAGAGCCAGCCAGTCCATCTGCCTGCTCATTTCCCAACACACCAGCATAACCTGGTGTAAATATTCAAAGGACACTAACTACCCAGGACCTCTGAAGTGATGCTTGCCACTCTTGTTATATTGCTCTGTAGATCCCAGTATAACTTACTTGTACAATGTGTAATTGTGCTAACTGGCGAGACTGCAGGTTATATTTCTCTGTAAATCCCAGTATAACTTACTTGTACAATGTGTAATTGTGCTAACTGGTGAGACTGCAGGTTATATTGCTCTAGATCCCAGTATATCAAGGGTGCTTTCCCTCACTGACCTTCTTTTTCAGCATTTCGAGCCCTTGAGGTTCATTGCTGCAGATATCACCTGCCTCCATTAATCTCTGTGATTGGTCTTGTCTTTGGTGACTCTAATTGTTTGTCTCCTTATCGTCTTCTTGGTCTTCCTCAAGTCTACCGCTGTTTAACTTCCCTGTGTCTGTCATCTGCTATAAGAACTAGCTGAACTCAGTTAAATAGTCGAGTCGAACGAACGAACAAACTTTATTTTCAAAGGGTTCAGAATTGGGCACGCAGGCCCGTCTAACATTCTGCCCTTCCACTCCGCTCCTTTCATACAATGTTTCATTTTTACCTCATTTCATAGTTAATAATAATAATAATAATTAATAATAATAATAAAAAGAGGAATGCACAATTAAAAATTTGAGAAATATTGAAAAGAAACAAAAGAACAAAAAAGAGAAATAGAAAAAAAAATTACAATATCTAAGTCTTAATTACAAATGCTGGAATGTGCTCTAATTTATACTGACATTACTTGAACGTTTGAAAGAGTATAATAATAAGCCTATTAAAAAAATGATGTAAGTCTTACAGGTTGCATAATATAAACATCATCAAAACCAATTAAATATTAGTTCCAAATATTGGAATGCATTCGACTGACATCTTCAGTTTTAACAATAATAAGCTTCAGTTTTCAACCCCCACCAAGTCCTACCCCCCCCCCCCCAAAAAAAAACCCCGTTAATAAGAAATACATCAAAGCCTTAGCATACTATAATCTTTTTAGGGGGGCATATAGTCTGTAGTGAGATAGTAATCAAATAGTTTCCAATTGTATCTAAAGGGGTTATTGATATTTTTTATTTCCGGTGGAAGATTATTCCACAGCTGAGCTGCAGAGTACGCTAAGCTTGTTTTATATAGGTCTATTCTAGGTTTAGAGATATGCAATATGTTAAGGCGTTTGCTATGTATTCCATTGTATTTAAATAATGGCCAAAGGTAACATGGAGCATTTTTAGATATGATTTTCTTAATAAGTTTAGCTTTATTGAATAGTAGGCGTTCCTGGAGCGGTAATAGCATGAGTTCTTTATATAGGTGCGAACAGTCACTTTCATGACTATTAGCTATTAAACGAACAGCCCTTCTGTGCAGTGCTTTCAGCCGTTTGATGACTGAATTTGCACATCCATCCCATATTGTGGAGCAATAGTCTATGTGGGTCTGAATATGAGAAGTATAGAATAATTTCCTTGAGTTTTCATCCAGAAAGTTTTTAATTTTTGCTAGTTGGTATACCTTTGTAGCAGTTTGCTTAACAAGTGTTTGCACATGGGAGTTGAGGGTAAGATTTCCATCGATGATCAGACCTAAAGTTTTGTGCTCAGTTACACTTTCTACTGGTGTGTTACCTAGGTAGAGTTGATGGGTTCTATGAGAGTTTAAAGTGCACAGTTTTTGTCTTGTTGTTATTAACATAGATTTTGTCTTACTCATGTTTATTTATTTGCATGCGGTTTGCGTAGCTTCAACTAACTACATTGTTTAATTCTTTTTGCAAAGACAACTCTAGTGTATTACAAGTTCGAGCATTTGAATGGATGGTACAGTCATCCGCAAATAAATCGCACGACGACGACAGACTTAAGGGCAGATCATTTATGTAAATTGCAAATAGAAGGGGGCCAAGAATAGAACCCTGAGGAACTCCAGAATTTAAAGTAGTAGTCTGTGATATAGATTTATTATGTGAAACAACTTTTTTTCTGTTTAATAAAAAAGATGTTAGCATTGTTAATAGGTTGGAACTCACTTTCATTGTTACCAGCTTTCGGATAAGAATAGTGTGGTCTATCATGTCAAAGGCCTTTTTGAAGTCTATAAACACTGCACCACATATCTTATCTTCGTTAATATTCTGATGCCAGTTTTCTATCATATTTGTTAAGGCAGTGTGACAAGAATATTTTGGTCGAAACCCTGACTGGTTGTCAACAATGAGTTCGTTTTGATCTAAATGTTGGAGTATTATTTTGTGAATGTGTTTTTCTAGTGGTTTTGATAGAGATGATAGTAGAGAGATAGGTCTATAGCTACTGGGAATACTACTGTCTAATGATCTAGATTTAAGATAATGATAGACTTTGGCAATTTTAAAGGTTGGAGGAAAGTAACCCTTGGCGATGCACTGGTTGTAAATGTAGGTTAATGACGTGCAGATAACTGATGCAGTACAACGAAGGATCCTATTGCTCACACCATCTAGACCTGATGCATTACTGTTTTTAAGATTAGTGAGAAATTTAAAAACGTCATTGACTGACATCAAAGGCATGTCAGTGGGAAAATCTCTGGAGCATTTATTCTCACAAAATTTTGACAGCATGGATAAATCACATGGATAGCTCGGTATTGTAGCCTTTATCTGCTCTATGTCATCCTGAAAGTAATTGCTGAAATCATCAGATGTTATATTAGATGTTACCACACGTGTTGAAGTGTTTTTGTTTGTCAGTGTGTTAATTGCCATCCATATATCCTTACTGTTTCTTTTATCTTTTTTTCCTTTCGAATAACATACTTTACTTTGTTACGCAAACTCCGATATGTGACAAAGTTCTTATCCTTGTGTGCCCTATCTCGTTCTTTCATAATGTCGACTACTTCCTGTGTGATCCATGGTGATTTAGTCTGATGTTTCACACGGACCTCCTTAACTGGCACATGTTTATCAAACACCCCAAGGAAGGTCTTTAGCCAGTATTCCAGAGCATCATCCGGATCAGGAAGTTGATAAACATGGTCAAGAGGTGAACTTAGCAAATCTAGTAAAAATGCCTCTTGACTGAAATTTTTATAGCTTCTAAATTTTATGCTTAAATGTTTGTGTTTTGGAATTTTAGTTCCCTTTTTCGACCACGTACAACAGACGGGAAAATGATCGGACGTTGCAGTAGTGGGAACCTTGCATTCTACTATATTTTCAGGACGTGTTGTATAAATGTGATCTATAAGTGTTGAAGATGATTTAGTTACTCTAGTAGGTTGTTTAACTAGTTGTTGGAGATTGTATGAAGTAACTATATTCTCTCATGTATTGTTAGACTTTTGAGTATCGATATTGAAGTCCCCAAGAAGTATGATTTCTCTGCCTATAGTAATCACTGCATCCATCATGGCAGTGAAGTTTTCATACCAAATGTTTCCAGCGCTGGGGTTGCGATAAAGATAACCAACTAGTAGTGGTTGGTGATTTTGTAGTTTTAACTCAAGCCAAACACATTCTATCTCACTACTTTCTAAGTCTAGCCTGCGGAAAACATTAGGTGAACTACATAAGTAGACCGCTATACCTGTCTCTTGTTTCTTATGTGGACCTCTTCTAATAACACTATAACCATTTATCGATACATCATCATCTGAGATGTAATCATTTAATCGACTTTCAGTAAGACCAAATATCTGAAAATGTTGACTAAGGATGAGGGATAATTCGGGCAGTTTGCCCATTAGATGACCTAATCTAAGACCAGCTCTACTGAGCCAGTTTTCAAGTTGGCTAGACATTTCCAGAAAGCGTAAAGTGCAAACGAGCAGTGCAAAATAAAAGCACTATGCGAGATAAAAACAAGTAAAGGCAGAACAAAAGTAATGGGGAAAAAGCGCACAAAAAATGTTAACGTGCAAGAGAGTAAATAACAATCAATGTCTTAGCAGCTCACAAGTTAAAATAATATAACAAGTATAATAGTAGCTTATTACACAGTCAATGTGTATGTGTATGTGCCTGTATTTGAGATTGCACCCCGAGACTGGTAGAGTAGGTAGCGGAGTACAGGCTAAGAAATACACGAAACGTTCAAAGGTCTGCTCAAAGAAAATTCAGTCAATGAAGTAAATACACGAAACGTTCAAGAAATACGACTCTTTGTGCTGAGGATTTGTATATCTTTAACAGGTATTGTATTCGACTGGCCTATACTGCAGTGACATTAGGAATGCCTGTCTAAGTAGACCAGGGCTAAAACGCATCAGATGTAACATATCAGGATTACAATGAATTGGATATTGTTGTTCAGGTGTGTAGCTGTTTCCAATAGCTGACCTCAGATTTTGGTCGGGGGAGGTCTGGCGCAACAGGGAAGCGCTAACGGAAGATGGTTGTCTGCTAGGAAGAGGAGGAAACATGTCCTCAAAGTTATCTCCCGCCTGTGTGAAGGTGGGTGGGGGTTGTTGAACTTGTAGCGGTCGATTTCCCCTTGAAGGCTGCTGTGATACTGTGGTGGCGGGAGATCGGGTGTCAGGAATGTGGGCGATTTTACTTGCCGTGACTGGCTTGTATCCTCTGGTTTGAGAATTGTGTTTAGTAGAAATGAGTGGTTTTCGTACTTCTGTGTTAGGTGTCTGTGTTCTGTCTGGGTATTTCAAATTTTTTGCTAGTATGCTAGTTCCCAGAGTAGATGTGTGAATTTGGTCCTTATATAGAAGCTTTTTTGGTGCATCAGACTTTGCCGTAAAAAATGGTGTATTGTTTATAAAATATAAATTGTGCTGACTGCAAAATTTCTCTAGTATCTTATTGTTAGAGTCAGCCAGACTGCGCTGACTGCCAAACTGGGGCACCAGTATAGAACTCAGATATATGGATGAATTTGGGCACATGCCACGCACTACGTCCAGTAATGTCCGCAGCTGATAAGTAGTGATTTGTTTGTTGTTCATGGTGTCGTTGATTCCAATGTGAACGGTGGTTTTCTTTATGTTATTATGGGTACCCAGCCGCTGTATTCTTTCTGTTAGCCTGTCTACCCCTGCACCTGGTAGCGGAATTAGTTACAACATCGCTCTCTGATGTGGACATACGACTGCTGTAAAGTCCTTTCAGTAAGGAGTCCCCGATAATAATATGGGTGGAGTCCTAAGATACATGTATTTGGGCTTCTTGGTAGCCAGCACGTCTTGCTGGGGGTTTCTGCCATTGTTGGCTTTCAATAATTCCATTTTCACGCACAACAGATGGTGCTTTCTTGATGTGTGTGCTGCATGTTGGCATTGTAGTGATTGGTTTATCGCTTGCAACCGAATGCTCTAGAAGCGCATCAAAACGATTGCTAATTTTAATGCCAATAGGATAAATACGTTCTTCTTCAACTTCGTTATTTCTATTTACAGTTGTGTCCTCTGGAGCTGCAAGTTTTCTATGTTGTTTTGATGGCGGTTCCAGTGACTGGACACTGTCAGTCTGAGTTGCCATGTTAACAGTTTGTGCACATCTAAAAGATTGAATAATACTTTTTAGTGTTTCATTTTCTTCTCTCAGAAGCGTGATTTCCCCCTTGAGTGTGGCGTAATTATCATTTATTTGATTATTGTTTTCAATGCTGGCAACGACAGCATCATAAGTGTCTTTAAGGCTGTTTCAATGCCTTCAACGTGACGCTGACAATCAGAGATGGGTTGACTGATGGCAGGGACATTCTCTTGGTCAGTCATTGTGGTTGTTTCGTCTGGTGCAATGTTTTGCAGATGTATTTTTTCTGCCGGTGCCACGTTCTGGAGAGGTATGGATTCTTCTGTTGCCACGTTACCGAGACGTGTTATTTTCTCTTGATGACGCTCCGGTAGATATTCAATAGCTAACAGAACTGGTCGATCTGCAGCTATTTGGGCCGGACTAGTAACATTAGTGTCAATTGCCTGTATCAATTCAGAACTGTCCAACATTGCAACTGGCGACTGAGTAGGTTGTGGATTCTTACCAGAAAACATATCCAGAACTGGGGATGACTTTAAAAACTCGTCATATGTTTTCTGGGCTGACAATTCCAAGGAAACGAATTCCACAGCCAACCACGATTTAATTGCCTCAACTGAGCCCTGGGCCAGTAATTTGTTTTTCGTGTGGTACAAATGAATTGTTTTCGCTGGTGCAATTATTTTGTCCTCCACGTGTGCGCCTTGTTTGTCTGTCCTGTGTTCAATGTGCTCATCTTGGTAGTGTTTGATGAGACAGGACCGAAAAGCCTCATACTGGAAACTGTTAATAAAGGTAACAGTTAAACATTTTCCCTCATTGGAATGCTTGATGGTAAAGCCGGGCTTATTCAAACACTTACTGAGTTTATTTCGCAGGGCCCTGCCTGTGTTTAGCGAGTAAGTTTTGCAAACCGCTGAACGTAGCCCTGCTCGACCCCTGACCTTGACAGTGGGTGATATGGAGCCCTCCCCATCTCCCATTGTTCACTTGCACTGAAGTTCCCGCATCGCCTGGCTCTTAGCTCAGCAGCCAGAACACAAGACCTGTGCGTCGATTGGCTCGTTTAATTTAATCCTTGATTTTGACTGGTCCTCAAGAATAACATGTTTCGCATTGTTAAATTAAGTTTACAAATTCTGGGCAATTCCTTGAAAATAAGCGAATTAGTTAATTTAAAACCACTTTCACTGGCAGAACGGAAAAACAACCATTACGGTGATATATAAATCCACATGGTAGGAATGCATTTTCTTGATAAATTATTCCAAAAAAGGAAGAGCTCGCTCGAACACAACCGTCCGCCAGAATTTGCCTAGATCCAGAAGTAGGTCGCAGGCACCTAAGAAAATGCTTCCACTAATCAGGATTTCTACTTATCCAGACAGCACACACAATAGAAAAAATTGCCGGGACTAAAGTGGTCCTGTCGACTTAACCGAAATTTGACTTATCCGAGTTCACTTAAGTGGACTCGACTGTACCTGTATTTAAATTTAGTATGTTGAAGTAATTGTCTGACCATCCGTTATCTTGTTTGATTATCACATAATTGAAAATTCTTATAAATTTGTTTGTTCATTCTTAATTAAATTTGAATATTTGTTTGACCATCCCATTATTGGATTGGTCATCCTGTGATTTTTTTGGGTCATCCAATAGTTCTTTTTATCATCCTTTTTTTGTTCAACCATTCTTATTTGATTATTTTATACTCACATGTTCTTCTTAATTCTCAATATCTGGGGACAATCATAACATCAGACAGAACATATATGTCAGAAATTAGGAACAGAATAGGCCAGGCTAAGGCTGCATTTCACAAAATGAAGAATAGCTTGTGCAACAGGTCCCTCTATTGGGACGTCCGAGAGAGAGAGCACTGACATGTTCCGTAGAACCTATATTTCAGTATGGTAGTGAATCATGGAATGTGCATGCACAAACTAGAAAGAATTTGGAGGTGTTCATCATAATTTACATGTTCGTCTTATGATTTGCTGCAGATCCCAGAAATGAGTTCCGTCTACACAAAGAGTGGGGAGCCCTGGTTCCTACATCTGCTGCTACAGGCCAGTGGCATCGCCGTGGGAACCACAGTCATGCTCATCATGAGTGTATCGGAGGAGTCCTTGATGACAGCGTTTCATTAAGTAATCTGTGCTGGCTGACAACATTTCATTAAGTAATCTGTGCTAGCTGACAGCATTTCATTCAATAATCTGTGCTGGCTGACAGCTTTTCATTCAATAATCTGTGCTGGCTGACAGCATTTCATTCAATAATCTGTGCTGGCTGACAGCATTTCATTAGATAAGTGCTAAAGACAACATTTCATTAGATAAGTGCTAAAGACAGCATTTCATTAGATAAGTGCTAAAGACAGCATTTCATTAGATAAGTGCTAAAGACAGCATTCATTAGATAAGTGCTAAAGACATCATTTCATTAGATAAGTGCTACTGACAGCATTTCATTAGATAAGTGCTAAAGACAGCATTTCATTAGATAAGTGCTACAGACAGCATTTCATTAGATAAGTGCCAAAGACAGCATTCACTAGCAATCTATGCTGGGTGATGGTATTCAACTAGCTGGATTCTTTCTGATAGCATTCCATTAACAATCACTACTAGGTGACACAATTTTTTTTAAATCCATTGCTGACAAACAGTTGCAAGAGGTGACTGAACATGACACTGCTCAGGGCATTAGAACGCTAAGAAAAAGAATAATCAGTCTTGATAAACTGATTTCCCCCCCCCCCCCCCCCCCCCCCCCCCCCCCCCCGCCTCAGTTTTTTTTTTCAGTGATGAGATCCCTAGCTGCTGGGACACACAGTAGGTAATAATTTCAAGCATGTGACTTTAGTACACCAGTAGTACAAATGATACATTTTCCCCTAATGGTGACAAAAATGTAAATTGTTGTCTCCCCAATGCAAATTTGATCAAAGTACGTATTCTATTTTTGTAACTATTCCTTGGAACAAAAATAAGGAATGTCTGTAAATGCCATTTGATGAAGAAATTGTTTTATTTAAGCCAAAAATCATTGTCTTCCCTGTAAAATTTATTGTTTGTGTAACTGCAGCTTTTCCCCCTGCAATTTTTACATGACGTTTATTTATTTATTACAGTTTTTTTTTAAAGTTTGTTGAAGCGTAATTAGTCTTGTTCTTATTTGATGCTGCAGCGGTACTCTTGGAAATAAAATTCATGTTCAGGATTTTTGGAACCAAACAAAAATATTAAGACCTCATTGATTCTTGTCCTTCTCAGTCTCAGTTGGTTGAATATATTTGCACTGCTGTATCATTTGTTTTATGTTATGGCACAATGGTCACTTAGTGAGGTGCAATCTTGACACATGAAAGGTTGGCACGGTGCGTCTCCAGTATCTCTTTTTGAGAGTTTCTTTTGGGAGCCATGATAGCGTACATATAAAGACAGTGGGCATTTACAGTAAGCTCAAGGGGGGAAACCATAAAGAGATGAGTGGCACCTTTGCTGTTACAACTGTTATTTTCCTCAAAATGGAAACTGACTGTAACAAAGGCTGGGTACTCAAGAGTTGACACACAAAGGCATACTCGGTGACTCAGTGAATATGCTAAAAGAAATTCAGGCTGGTTTCATCGTCCAAAAATAAATTGCAACACCAAGCACTTTACAAATGGCTGCCGTAACCTTTATCTTTGTACTAGGTCATGCAGGCTTTTAAAGGAACAAGCGTGCAGATCATCTTGCAGATAATGCCTGCAATTGCTATGGCTGGTCGAGTACTAGACAGAAGCAGTGTTATCAGTATCACACGCAGCACTTACCATGTTGACGAGCATGACTCCATATCCTTGTCCAGGCTGATGGACATGGGGTGCAGCCTAGAGCTGCAAGAAATGAACATTTCACCAGGGGGACAAAACGTTTCATTAATCAACACAGAGCAGGCGTCATCAGTCGTTTTACTTATGGAGCTGTTGAGGAGGAGATTGGAGCACCTATGGATCTGTCCGGAGTGCTGTGGTGACAGTCCTGACTAATCTCAGCAAATCATATGGTTTGCCCACTTAGAGAGAGTGCCTTGTGACACCACGCCATACAAGGCATACGCCAAAAGAGGAGATGGATGAAGATTGCAAGGTAGACCAAGAACAATATGGAAAGATAACATCAGAGAAACTCTAAAACAGCATGGTGTGTCTATGGTCGAGACGGCTAAAAGAGCAAGAAGTAGAACTTGATATTTTCCTCGACATCTGCAGCGGTGAAAAAAAGGATGTAAAGAAAAGACTAGGCTAGACGCCAACCTATTTTAAAAACTATACTGGAGGAAAAGGTTGAAAGCTAGAGGTAGACAATGATACAACTGGAACATCAGGGAATGAAGGAACAGCGGTCAGAGTACAAACAGGACAAGAGACAGTTTGTTGCAAATCCATTGCAGCCAGCCTTCATTGTGGAGACAGCACCTGAATGGTGATAGAATAGTAAAGTTTGGTTATCTGTTGTCAAAAATAAATCTGATTATCTAAGCACAACATTCGATAAACTTTTCAGTGCCTCTTTCGAAAGAATAATCCACATGGACTGATGTAATATAAAAGCATGTTTATAGTTGTTTATCTTTTGTCTTATGTTATGTTGGGATGGATAGTCAAATAAATTATCTTATTGTTCAACTTGACAACTATATGACCAGGACACCCGACGGCATGGAAAAGGGTCCTTTACTTTATTTTACTTATTATCTAATATGCTGGGCTTTTGCCCTTCATCAGTGTCAGATCTGTGTACCCGGTCATGTAACATTTGCCAAACCTGAGTAGTACCTCCTTATAAAAGATAATCGGCTTGCCTGTTATTTCATCATTGCCGTCAGATTTATATTTATTTGTTCTATGATAGTCAGATTTAGTTTTGGTATATTGAAAGAATGTCAGATGACAGAGAAGTAAATACGGTATACACAAGGGAGATGAATGGTTGGAGACTACGGGGCAGACCAAGAAGAACATGGAGAGATAATGTCCAGACAGACCTGCAAACACTTGGTATCACCAACTGGAAAGAGAAGGCCAACCAGAGAGATGAATGGAGGCAGGTGATGTCTGCAGCATTGAACCTCAAGGACTCAGAATGCTGAAAAAGAAGATGAGAGTGAGATTTACTTGTTTTTCCATACAGTGCTCAAATTTACTTATGATTTTTTTTTTGTTTTTTTGTTTAACAAGATAGTCATGTTATTTGCTTAAGTTGCTTCTTCTTTTATGATAGTCTGATTTAGTGGGTTTGTCCTTCTGATTTAAAAGTCTGATTTACTTATTGAAGTCGTTATATGATACAGGATGTTTGTAAAGTCTTGCTACACTATGTATGCAGAAAAAGATTTGAAGAAAAAAAAAACCCGAAGTGAATGACATCAGTAAAAAATGTGCTAAAAAGTCATTAAATTAGTGACGATATTCACTGCTATGTTCTAGCGTTGTTTATAGGAAGTTGGAAAGTAGGAGTGTAATAGTCATTATAACAGGTGTTACAGATGTCCTTCAAAACACGACTTTACACGTCTCTTCATTGTCAAGCACCTTCTGTAACGTGTCTATTGTTATTTCTTGAATGGTAGTTCTGATTACTTCTGGCACCCAATTGTGTGTAAATGATTTTTTTAAACGCTTCAAAGAAATCCCTTAGATAAGGGCATTAAATCTGGAGAACAAGCAGACCAAATTCCTCATGATGTTATGCAATTTGTTCAAACCCATCTTTCTTTCAGTAATAACGCTATTCTATTTGAAGTGCAAAGAATTATTCAAGCAGATTGACAACCATACACTGCATGTTGCTTCATGATTAATCATCTACTTTTCTTTTCTTTCAAATTTATTTTACATTAAAAGGGTAGTGAGACTTTACAAACACCCTGTGACAACATTGCTGATGGTTGGTCTGATACCATGTGGTCCTACTGCCTCACTCACTATTCTATCTAGTTAATGTGTGTGTTTTCTATCAAGATGATGATGACCACTCTTTTTTCATCAAGTATGAGTACGAAGATGACCGTGAGGACTGGGACTGAGCATTGTGCCAGGGAGGGGATCTCCTGCAATCGCCTTTGTGTCCATCTTTTTCCTAATCAGTCTTGCTGTTCTGTTTGCTTCACATGTAGCTGCGCCCTTGTGTAGAGTTGCACGCCATGCATTTCGGTCTTGAGAGGCAGCCTCCCAATTGGTGTCATTCATCCGCTTTGAGTGAAGATTTCAAGGTGTCCTTAAAGTGTTTCTTTTGCCCGCCTTGGGAACGTTTTCCATTTTGCAGCTCACCATAGAAGAGTTTTTTTTTTGGAAGCAAGTGATCTGGCATGCGTGCCACATGACCAGCCCAACGAATTTGATACTGCATCAGTAGAGTGTGGAGGTAATAGGGAGAATATGTCAGTAATCTCACTGTAACGATTGTAGTCTAACAGTTGAATGTAATGACTGTAATCTTACAATCAATGTAATGACCGTAATCTCACACTATAATGTAACAATGATAATCTCACAATTGAATGTAATGACTGTAATCTCAGTCTAATGTAGTGACAGCAGTGTTTCTGTCTAATGTAATACAAATCTAGTTAAACATTCCAGTTTATGTAGATTTCTGTGACACATTTCTTTTTTTAGTCAGCTTTGTTTTGTTTACTTTTGAGATGGTTGCATAGTAAGGCCAGGGGCGGGCAGTTTTCTGTCACACAAACTTACACAAACATAGTCACATTTTTGTAATGTTAAAACCATATTTTTTCCATTTTATGACACCCTGTGTGGCCTGCGCCATCTTGCCACACCTTTGTTTGAGATATCTTTTAATTAACATCTGATTATGTTCTGACTCTTGTATTTCGCATAAATTACGCAGTTTTAAGTTAGTCTAGTCGGTTTATCTGCTGTGAGATTGTTAGCCATAAGAGGATAGTCACCCTGAGGTGTTTATTGTCTGTTAAGACAGTGTAGTTAAGTGGTCAGTCGTCTGGGAGACTGAGTGAGCAGAAGGGCTAGAAAGTGGGGGGGGGGGGGGGGGGGGGGTTAATAAGCAGACCTTTGATCTGGTTGCAGCTGGCACTGTCAGCATAGGCATTCTTCATTGGCTACGGAGAAAGAGGA